ATTCAACAAATTTTTATATTTATATGGCAACATCAAAAGCATTTCAACATGACATTGAAATTTATTGGAAGGAAACCGACGATAATCAATCCTGAATTAATAGAAAACAGTTCACCAATATATTTAATTAATCAACCCAAAATTGTCAATTCGAATATTTCTCATTGATTGTTCTACCAGTTTATTTAGTGAAGAGAATTCTTCAAAATTGGAATTACTATTGAGCTGATTTCTTGTGCAAAGATTGAATATATGGTAGTTAGAATATTAAAATTATAGTTATTTAAGGCCTTCGGAACCTCAAAAACTGATCATAATCCAACGACATAGAAAATAGTTTGTATTGTTTAAAATAGTACGTCAAGATGCAGTCAATGACCAAATTCGTTTTTTAAAATACTTACCTTGTTTAATAAAGAAAATGAGATACTAATTCAATGGCTCGAAAAACAGGTGTACTTATGTATTTTCATCATGACATACTTCTTCCAGACAAAATCAAAAAAAGACAATGAAAATAATAAAAATGTGCATTTTCTCTCCCATCATTTTATAAAAAAAACATTAGAATAACTAAATAAATATATTTCAAATTCATTCTTCATATAAATCATGTACATAAATGCATAGCTGCTATAATATAATTTGATACAAACGAATAACGCCTCTTACGATCCCCAATCAGCGTCTGCCATGATCAATGATACAAAATATTAGTAATTAATTAATAGTCTCTATTATATCTGTGATGTACGGTTGCTAGAATGTCTGCCACGTCATTGACAAACCGTTGCTACGTTGCCTTTCACGTCTGTGGAGGAAGGAGTGCAAATTTCTACCCCTAACACTTTTTTCAGTTCGTTTCATAAAATTTTATTGATTATGAAATGGGAATTACATGTATGAAGATATTCATAATTCATTTTTAAATACTATCTAACAAAATAAGACGAAAAAATCAAAATAAACTTTATGACTAATATAATAGTGATATAAATAGAGCATATTTTTAGCAATAATTAGTTTAAAAATGAACAACCTTAATATCGCACATTTTCTAGCAAACTAGAAATTCATTGTTGAAATTTGTTCAATGAGACATCTTAATTTTCAGACTGAAGTTTTGATCTTTAAACTAACTGTTTTTTTAAGTGTCCAATATTTACATCAATATTAGATTAGTCATAAAGTTTGTTTTTCACGTTCTGTTACATGACAACTCAAAATGACCTGAGGGTGTAACCACATGAATAGAATCTAAACTCATTTGTTAGATATACTTACCCATACTGTTCTAAACGTTTAAACGACCTTATATTACACGCACGTCGACCATCTCACGATGGTATAATATCAGCCCATTAAATATTCTAAAATAAATTCAAAAATATATTTTTCATTAATTAAGTTGTATGATGATGCTAAATCCCTAAAAAGAAACTGTTAGAATCATTGTGATGTTCATGATATAGAAAGTTATTTTAGTTAATATACTGTTTACTTCTGTAAATAATAGTGTCATGTATGAAAATAAACTTTTTTTACTAACTTTACACAATCAATAGGCCTCCCACAACCAAAAAAATGTTTTTCGTCATAGTGAAATGCTTTCAAACACTTAAAATTTCTTACGAAATAACTGCACAATTGATTTCTCTCAAACTATACATAGAAACGAACATCAAACATATTTTGTGTCGTCATATTGATCCATTAAAAATGTATGTTTATATGTCAGAATCAAAGAAACCAAAGACGTCATTACAAACATTAAATAAGACAAATAGATTCTGTTTCAACTAATGACGTCAAACGGCGGTTGTCAATGTTTATTGTTTCTTTTTTTTCTCTACAATTACATTGTATATTCAATAAATAATATTGTTATGGCTATTAAAATGTAACAATAGCAACACTATACGCTATTGATCTATATAAAGGTGTCATAAAAGTAGCAGTAGTTTAATAACGAAATTAGTTACCATTTCATAGACATTATAACAAAGTAAGACTATTGTATATAATTTGAAGTTTACTAGGCAAGTACTAAATCTTTTAGAATACCGGACGTTAGAATATAAACTATGAAAACAAAAAGATCACAAACGTTAGATTTAGCGTTAGTAAAGAATAATTATTTTCAATTTATTTCATTATGCTAATACATGATAGTTGTTTCCAACAATAATCGTTTGTTATAGAAACTATTTATTGTGTTTATTTCTGTATTTCAAATAGAACTTTTTCTCTTTTCCAGTAACGTTTTATTTCTATTTCGCTTATGACTATTCATGCGTCACTTACTTTCTTTTGTCCTTTTTTACTCTTTCTACAGTATATCTCATTACGCCATGTTCTTCATTGAGAATTTTAAAATACTAGTACTAATCATTCTTGCTAATAAAGTCCAATGTATGAAAAGTAGCCTTGCTGCAACTAATGAACAATATAGAAATGTATTCATGATTTGTAAAAAGCGCGAGTCGGAACCATCAACACACTAATCGTTTCTTACATTTCATTTATTCAATAAAAAATATTTTAGATCAATACTACAATGTCTAAGAATGCAAATCGTCAACAAGCGTTTAGTGGAAATAATCGATCAACTGAAGTTTCAACGTAGGTTCTTTATCAGATTTATTTCATCATTTATTTATGCCTTTTAATTTTTCGTTTTTATTAGGGGTGGTCGAACACTAAAAATTATTTGGATTATTCTGGCCGTGATAATCATTTTAGCTATATGTGCAGCTATCGCTGTTCCAATTGGACTTATACTAACAAAAAATAATTCAGCTTCAGCTTCAACAAGTTCAAATACATCGAGTAAGTTGATTATAGTCATAGACAAGAAAATCCATCGATTATTTTATTTTTATTTTAATCTACAGTGACAAATACTACTGCTACGAATAGTACCAACGTAACTACTACTACTGTTTCGACTACTATCAATATGACAACTACTATCAATGGGACTACTACTATTGCTACGACTTCTACAAGTAAGCTTACATAAATATTTGACTTTAGATCTCATTTCACCTTATACAAAACACTTATCAGGAATGAAAAAAGTATCGCCCACTCATTACGAATTGTTTTTTTTGTTGTTCTGTTGCTATACAATAGAAATCAGACGAAAAAAAAATTGTTTATTTTTTAAATATCTGTGACATATATTGCATAAATCAATTTAGAAAAGAATTATATTATTCTTTGTTTTAGCCACAGCATGTAGTTATATATTTACAAATGTAGCTTCATATTCATACTCAGCACCAGTCGGTATTGCCACTGCTGATATTAATAATGATGGTAAATTAGATATAGTTGAAACAAATACTGGTACGAATGATGTTGGTGTACTTCTTGGAACTGGTAATGGAACTTTTACAGCATCAGGATCATATTCAACTGGTTCTGGCACTTATCCTCGGGCCGTTGCTTTTGGTGATTTTAACAAAGATAATCAATTGGATATAGTTGTTGCCAATTATTTCACAGGAAATGTGGCTATTCTACTTGGAGATGGTACTGGAGTCTTTGGTACAGCAACACTTTGTACTATAGCTTCCAATCCATATGCAGTTGCTGTTGGTGATGTAAATGGTGATACTTGTCCAGATATTGCTGTTGCAAGTCAAAGTGCTAATAGTATAACTATATTGTTAGGAAATTGCAGCGGAGCTTTTGGTGGTTCTGGAACAGTAAAAACAATATCAACTGGTTCTGGTTCTAATCCACAGTCCGTTGCTTTTGCTGATTTTAATAGCGATGGTCGATTAGATATGGCAGTTGCCAATCATTTAACCGATACTATGGGCATATTTCTTGGTTATAGTAATGGAACCTTTTCAGCTCAAACAACATATTCAACTGGTAGTGGTTCTAATCCGAATATGCTAACTATTGCTGATTTTAATCTAGATGGTAAATTAGATGTTGTTGTTGTCAATGCTTTTGTTAGTTACTCCTGCATTTTCTTTGGGTATGGCGATGGAACTTTTATGGCACAAACACAAATAGCAACCACTTATTTTTCAGAGGCAGTTACTTCTGCTGATATTAATAATGATAATATACCAGATCTTATTTGTGCTCATAATAGTATCGGTAAAATTGGTATAGCTCTTAACAATGGTAATGGAACATTTGCATCAGAATTATTTACAGCTACCCCCGGTGGAGGACCAATTGGAATTGTCTGTGGTGATTTTAATAGTGACAGTAAACAGGATGTTGCCATTACCGATGCTTACAGTGGTGCTGCTAAAATTTTCTTAAATCCATGCTAATTACAATGACTTTTGAACTTATACTTTTTTTGTCCGTAATTTAATTTCTCACTTATTATATTTCCTATTTTACAAAGTTTTTTTTATGTAATTTATTAACTCCCTATCTTATTTGTGTGTGTCACAATTACAGAATAAATTTAATCTCGCTGTATTGAAATCTATTTGAAAAATTTTAATACCGTATCGATTGAATCTTGAGGACTGGTGTGAGTGTATATATCACGCTACTCATTTCATTCACACCCTCTTTTTCATTATCAGTATCAATCAAGTTCATGTTCACCTGTGGCTGTAAGACCTAACTTTGGTGATATAGTATATCATCAGCACTCTAATATAGTATTGTTCATGAATTGTGATGAAAGATATTCTGTTTATCATCTGTATTCTTCACTTTTAATATTGCATGTTTTCAACACTTCGTCAATATCATCAACGTCAGAATCATACAGAACTTTCAAGTACTTATCAGTTTCTTTATTTTATTCAAGAATATGTTTCTTGTTGTACGACATTTTGACTGCTCAATAGAAAATGATTTACTCTTTTCTGTTTTTTGGCAATTTAGTCTTATCAGAACATTAGTCATTTCAAATTCCATCTTTTCATCACACGTAATTCTTTTTCTTTCTGCTTGCGGGTGTGGGTGTGGATAGGCAGAGTGAACATTTACACCCACACCCACACATGATGAAACATAATATAATAACAAAATAGAAAGTCTTTTTAGTCTACAGATGACACCCGAAATAAATGTTTGTTCGTATCAAATTTAATAAGATACGACGGATCATGGTTGAGTTCTGTATTCGATTGATATGGTCGAGTTGTTCTATTTTTTGTCATTTGATCGAGTGTAGAACCAGAATCAATGTAACGATTATAAGGATTTTCGAGCCAGGCATGATGAATGAGAACTTTCGATAGTGGACCTATTGAAAATAAAAATAATCGATTTCTGTATCGCTTTGCTGCGTCAACAATTTTCCCAATTGCTTGCTCTCTAAACTTATCATTTTCCCACAACAAAGGTCCATTATTTGGATATAACAATATTTCACAAGTCCATGCATTCAGTTCAGTTAGCTTTTGTGAGCTAGTTTCATTGTTAATTATTAGAATAATCTTTTTTCGATGATCTCGAATAAGTGATTATGATGTAATAATTTCGTAGAAGGATAATTAGAATTGACAAATAAATTTGTATATGTTAAATATTTTGGATGCTGATAATTCATTGAGAGAAGTTCATGAAAAGGACAAATATCTTTAGCATCATAAATTCCATAATAAAATGGACTAAATGTATTATATTGATATTTCGGATAATGCAATGCTTTTCTTAAATCTTTTCCTAATCTTGATTGACCGCCAGGCCACGACCATGGGTCAATAGACTTAACTGAAACTCCAAATAAAAGTTTCATTTCTCCATCTCCTAATCGAATGAATGCTAGTCCACTATTATTATTCATTGAATCAGGATATGGTCGACTGATTAAAGCTGCTATGTTATAAAAATGATTTCGAAATGTTCCTATTGTCCATGAACATTCTGATAATTCAATTTGATTCTCTGTACACCAAGTTAAAATAGAATCCGCACATGTTATATTTACATTTGTTTGTCGATTTGTATGTTTTCCGGTATGTAAATTTAACTTATTAGGACATCTATAGAATGAGAGCATTATAAAATGATATACAATTAAGATCATCACCAACATCTTTCAATTGCACAGTACCATTTGGATTTTTCTACTAAGATAAGACCTTCTAACTTCTGCAATATTTGTTGGATTTGAGCCCTGATTCATTTTTCTATAATCGTTTCAAATGGCTTTGGTTCTAATATAATTAAGTGAAATTAACTAATAACGTTTATATCTAAAATGAATGCATTTTGCTTTTATAATTCAAACAAAGTTTCATAAAAAAACAAATTCCGAAAAAAATGAGTAGCTGCTTAATTCGAGGACATGAGTGTCAATTCAACTCTTTTTATTTATAAAGGTGAACTAGAAGGTTATTTAACTGTTGAGATTGCAAGTTACTAAATGTTTGATTAGTAAAAGTTCGAATAGTAAAGGAAGACATTGTCATGATTACTTCTGCTCTTTTCAAATCCACAATATTATCTTGTATATAGATATTAATAATAGGAATATTTCTTAAGAATGCTGCTGATACTAATGCAAACATATTTATTGTAGATGAAGAACCTAGAATAATCACTGTTGTACTTTGTGTACCTTGCATAACCATATCAAATCCATAATGTATTTCAGCTGCAGCAGTAATAGGTGTTGGATCCATAGTAAAATCACGACCAATCATAAAATCATGAATTGATCGAAATTCTTTTTTAATTTTACTCATTTCTATATCTGTTTTTAACATATTTGAAGTTGCAAAATGAATTAAACCACCGAGTTGAATCATCTGTTGTTGTACAAGTGATATTAATAACATAGTATCATGTTGTGTTTCTGCAAATAATAATAATGATGGTTTTGATGATTGATAACTACTCATTAAACGATCACCACGTAACCATAATTCATCTCTAATAAAATGTCTACTTGGTCTTGTTCCATGTACGAATCCAGTTGTATCTCCTTTCTTACTAATACCGAAATAATCTTTTGTAAATGAATGTGTCGTATCATCATTTTTATCAATAGGCATAACAAAACTTCTAATATTAGCATATTTCCGTGCATTTGCACATAAATGAAAATCTTCACCAGTATTCCATGAATATATTTTATCATGAAACATAAGTTTAATCCATTCACTTTCCATAAACCAGCTTCCACCAACTACATCAACTTCAATTATTTGACTACTATTTGATACAGGACCATAATAATAACTTTCCGACGTAGGTGTACCTTTAGTTCCTAAAATACCTCGATATTCTTTTGTATTAATTGTATACATTGCAACTTCTAAATATCGTTTTTGCGGTATACAATCATCATCAAATACAATAACATATTTTGTTCGACATTGTAGTGCAAATTGAAATCTTCCAAAATATTTTAATTGCATTTCTCCCATACCTACGAATAACATTGAAGGTAATTTCATACAAAATTCTATACATTGTTTGGTACAATTAGATTTAATTCCATTATTATTGGTATTATTCATTTTACATTTATTTTCTATACACCATTTATTACAATAATTTGATCCATTATAGAATAATGAACGCATTTCTTTAATTTCAAGATCAAGTTTATCTGCAATAGGTGAAGCAAAATGGACCAACCAAATCTCTTTTGGTGGATGTGTTTGTAAAAGAAGTGCTTCAATCCATCGTCGAATTAAACCTTCACGTTTATATAATCCAATAATAGCAGTAAGTGCAAATCTATCCTCGTTTTTCTTTGATATATTATATTGACTAGGAATTTTAAGTATTTCATTTAGAGTAAGAGCTGGTTGTACTTTTGTTAAATTTATCATCATATTTCGTCTAATAGTATGTGATGATATATTTCTATATGAATAAACAAATTGAGCAATAGAATCTTGACGAAATTTTGTCATACATTTTATATTTGATTTATATTTTCCGGAAAAATAATTTTCAATAATAGTTGCAATTTGTTTTGATGCTGTTCCATCACCAAAAATATTTCTTTTTGTTGTTTGATTCATTATTTTAATATTTTTCAATTCATCATTAACTGCTCTTATAATATCGTCATAAAAAATACCAATTTGTTTAATTGTACCAAGATAAATTCCTTCAGGTCTTTCAGTTGTCATTCTCATTAATATAACTGGTTTACCAATACTAACTGCTTCTTCTTGAATTCCACCTGAATCAGTCAGAATTATATCTGATTCTAATAAAACATATCCGAATATATCATATGATATTGGATCAACAATTTTAACATTATCTAATTTATTTAAAATTTTTAATACAACATTTTTAACATTTGGATTTGGATGAACAGGTAAAATAATTAAAATATCTTTAGTATGTTCATTAGCTATAGTTTTTATAGCACGACACATATCAGATAAATATTGAAAATTTTCTCTTCGATGCATAGTAACAAGAATAACAATTGGACGAGTTTTATTTATAGAATTCTTTTTAAAATTATCAATTATTCTTAATATTGAATTATTTTTATTTGGATTTTTTTGTTTATAATATTGATAGAATGCATCAACACCAGTATTACCAGTTATAAATATATCTGTTTCACAAGCACCTTCTCGAATAAGTACTTCTTTCGCAAATGTTGTTGGTGCAAACATAAGTTTAGCAAATGAATCAATTATTTTTCGATTAAGTTCTTCGGGAAATGGATTTGATAAATTAAATGTTCGAAGACCTGCTTCAACATGTGCAACTGGAATTTGATTATATGCAGCAACTAAAGCAGACACAAGTGCAGTTGTTGTATCACCTTGAACAATTAATAAATTTGGTTTAATTATATTTATTTGTTCATTTATTTGAAAAAATATTCGATGAAATAAATCAGATAAAGTTTGATTATTCATCATTAAATCTAAATCAATATCAACTGTTTGTTTAAATGCCATTAAACTTTGTTGCAAAATTTCTCGATGTTGACCAGTACTAAGAACAATAATTTGAAATTTTGAACGATAATAATCAGATTTTAATTCAGCAATTAATGGAGCACATTTTATTCCTTCTGGACGTGTACCCAATACAATAAGTATTTTAGGAAGACTTTTATTATTGATTGTTATATCAAATATTTGTTTAACTTTAAAATAATTTGATTTTAATAAACTTGGCCATGACGAAATTTTGTTATTATCATTTTCAATCAATATATTTGATAAAATAGCGTAAAAAAATAAAATAAATATTAGAATCCATGTACAAAAACGTCCTACTCGTACATAATTCATATTTTAATTCTTTTAATCTAGAAAACTATAATAATTACAAGTTTATTTTAATTTACAAAGATTATTAATAGAAACGTAACCAACATTATGTTATTTTGACTCATCTGAAAATAATTGAAAATTTTCTAAAAATTTTTAGAAATTAATAATTTACTTTCGACCTTAAACACTAAGTAATAAACAAACAGAAAGCGTTTTCTGAAAATCTATTATGATGAGTACGAGAACAAGTCACAGTATTGAATATTTCGATATTTTCATGCACTTAAATACACCTGTAAGCATGGCAAATTCCACCTTCACCAAAGATGAATTTCGCCGAATGAATTTCTCTTGAGGGTGTGGGCGTCAGAGGCAGGTTACTACAATACTCGCACCCGCACCAACACTCATCTCAGTTAGTAATCATGTCAGTTGGCACTTATCTAAGATGACAATCAAATGACATAGTTGCCATCTGACTTGAAAGTCGTCTCACATGGAAATCAACTGATTTGGTATCATAGACTAATTATCTACAACACTATTGTTATCTATAGGATCGATTCGGTAAAGTTCATTTTTGGCGAACTTCTTTCGGAGAAAATTAGCTTTTATCGAAAATATTCTTCGACGAAGGTAGATTAAATCGTAAGCATTACATCTTTTTTTCAGAAATATTATGAACTGAAGGCACCGTGTTTATCGATAAATATTAAAAGAAGTTATGATGATGTTTACCAATATCTTTATTAATTGTTAAAAACTAAAGAGTCATATTTATGGATGTATAGTACTAAAAAAATAAATTTCAAAATCAATATTCATCCTAATAAATCATATAAAAGATAAAGATATATTTAGTTCATTTGACTCACCTGCTATTCAATATTTCTAGAATCATTGCAAATATTTTCGAAAGGAATAATAACTTTAGATAAATTCTGTTGTTGACAAGTCTTTGAAAAAGCCAGTTTTTGTTTCTCAGCTTGATTTGCTAGTAATGGCCCGAAAGCAAACCATATATTACCACATGAGGTACGAAATGAAAGCATCATATTGATTTGATGAGGATATGTAAGTGCAATAGCATTCATTAAATTTTGTTCCTTTCCAATGAAAAAATTCTTTGAAACAGAAATATCGATAGTTTCATAAAATACTGATGTCCACCAATGGATAGCATCAGCAGTACCACCCATTAGACCAGCTTGAATGAGATCACGTCGAATGAGACCTTTGTTTATAGTATATGATAATGGACAAAATTGGCGAGGAAGTGGGGAAATCATACCAAGAAGAAGTCTGTTGTTAGCCAGAATTGAATGAATTGAAGGTTCGTATGGCCACGATTGAAAACGATAATTAGAAGATCGAAAAGCTCCCGCATCAATATAGAGAAAATATTTTGTTTGAAAAGGATTAAGCTCAACACTTCGATTCAATATAAACGGTTTAGCACACCATACAGCATATAATTCAACAGAGTGATATGCACGTTCAGGATCACTTGGATATTGTTGTTCAAAAATAGGAACAAGTTTTTTTATTGGTGGCATTTCAAGCGGTGAATTATATTCCACAATAAAATGAGTTCTTAATGAATTGTTTCGACGAAGATGTTGTAGAATGGGTTGATATTCAATTGATGTATATATAATGATAGGTGATTGACAAAATCCTAATAGATTTTGAAGCCATGATTGATATTGAGTTTTACTATGTTTAGATTTATTCAATGGGAAATATACTATTACAACAGTTGTTGAATATTGTTCATTATTTTTTAGTAAAGGATATCTTGTATAATTGGATCTACGAATTAAAAACTTAATTGAATTTGATTGATCAATACGCAAGATCAAAGCGATGCTAATAACAGCCAATATAAAAATAAATAATAGTCGATAATAAGTAATCCGAAATTCCATCTAGAAAAGACAATACATTCAAATATATTTATTTTTTGGTAAAATATTTTAATAATTTAATTTGTATTGTTCAAAAATTTAAACCATGATGGAAAATAATCATCTTGTCGACAATTAGCATCAAGAGGAGTATGATCCGGTTTTGAATCCGTTAATACATCACCTAATCTATTCTGTGAGAGAAAAGCTCCCCACCATCCAAATGTTCCTGCGGTAAGAATAGTATGTTTACATAGAGTCAATGTAGCCAAATCATCAGCAGCACTAAACGAATCAGGTGTCACTAATACATTCTTTTTCTGACCAAATGTTTTTCGACAATACCCTTTATCATCGGATACTATAATAAATATAACTGAATGATATTTTATTTGAAAATGAGACATTGCATTGAATATATAGTTGTCAGATGAAACACGTCGAACAAGTAGAAAATCTCCTCGTCGAATATGTATGCCTACTGAAGTTGAAATATTTTTATCGATATTTTTTTCGAGAAAATTCTTCACTCGATCTAAAATTGATTTTTTAAAACGTAATTGTTGTTTTATTTGTTCCATATAATCGAGAAAATATTTATGTACTTGCCAATATCCTGATAATTCAATCGAATAACTGTTATTTAATGAATGTAAAACATCGGGAATATATGAACAATGATTCTCTATTTTCGTAATCGAAGTAAAATTATTTAATTGTGATTTTGATAATAAACTTGTTAAATTCATCTCGAATGATGTTTGAAGTTCATTAATAATATTTTGATCTATATATAATTGACATGAATATTTAAGTGACAAACCATAGGCTGATGCAAACATAAATAAACGATTTCCAAGTCGACCACTACGTTCACGTAAAATAATACGGCATTCTTTAGAATCATTAAATGTAATCTTATTCTTACGTAATTGTAAAATGTACAATGATTTTGAACGAATATTTAACATATAAAAAGTCATAATCATAATAACGATCACACTTGTTACTTTAAAAAGTGGATTTCTATGCATTTTCTATCGCCAGAAATGCTTTAATTAAATAATAATATCTAACAATAATCAATTATAAATTTATGTTCTAAAAAATTTAGAATGCAACAATTTTAGAAGTGTTTTTTTCACAATATGAAGTATCAATAATGTGATACGTGAAAAAGAAAAGTAAATTTACAAGTCAATAGTCTCCAAACACTCTGAACAGATTTATTGATATTCACTAGAAAATCATTATGAGATGTTTATCAGAGCTAAAAAGTGATTGAAACTATAACGCTTTAGAAAGTTAGGACAATATTTAAATCAACTGTGTCATATCTAATCATTATAAAAAAAACGGGTCGCGTACACTTTGTCGACACCCAATTTGCCGACACCCAATTTGCCGACACCCACTTTGCCGACGCCGCTTCGCCGACAGACTGTTTTGCCGACAACTTGTTTGGCTACCATAATTTGTGGGTGAGTGTGAGTGTGGGTTTGGGGGAGGTGAGTGTGGTTGCGGGCTCGGGTGTTCTGAGCTTATCGACACCTACGCATACAACCAAACCCAACAAATTATGGTAGCCAAACAATTTGTCGGCAAAGTGTACCTGTCGGCAAAACAGTTTGTCGGCAAAGTGTACCGGACCCAAAAAAAACAATAAAGTAATTGTAGTAATAAAACTGCAGTTTGTCCATTTTAAAATGTATTGAGATCTAATCTATGATACTTAAAACGTCTTACTTTTATTACAATAATTTGTGTCCTGCATAGATTTCATTATTCATCTTACTCGGATACAAATAACACGAACATGTTATAATAATCTAGTAGATTAAATGATTAAAAAGAAATATTGAAATATTTTTGTATAAAATTGTTCGATTTCAATCCTTGTTGATCATAGCTACCATTGCAGTTTTTACTCTATCAGCGAATCGGTCACGAATACTAGTATCTTTAACATATTCATTAGTACCACAACCCGGCATTGTACGTAGACGACTCATCGATGCATAATGAACAAGTTTTATGTGTTTTTCTGAAGGTTGTTCTTTCGAAAGTCCATTTATTTGATGATGAATTGATAGATATTGAACAAAACGTGGTCGATACAAATACTTTTCACGTCCACTTTTATATAGATTACGTGCACGAAAACTAAATCGTTCGATAGTTAAACGATTTGTATCATTCTCTTCTGGAGTATATGCACTAGCGTTTTTATTGCAAAAGAATTGACTCCATAAATTTATTGATCCTATAATTCGTCGACCAAACGTTTCATGAATATAATCAACGATAGTTTTGTATGGATCTAGTGGTACAATATATTCATCAAGATCAAGCATACCTAACCATTCTGATTGATCACCATAACGAATTAGACAATCATGTAATGCTTCTGTTTGAAAATATCGTGTTTTTAAGGCATCAACAAGATCAAGAATAGAAAAATTCCATTGTACAACATCAACAAGACCAGGATATTTTTGAGTATAGATATTAACAATAGTCGAGAGATGATTATTAGTATCAGTTGTATTGTATATGACAAATTTGCTAAATCCAACTAATCGATGAAACTCAATCCATTGAACTAAATAATTAGCTTTATTATGTAAAGGTGAAGTACATAATGTAAACGATTCTTGACTGGAATTTGATGGGCTAATAGAAACCATTGGAACTGTTACAAATGCTTTTAGTATAGGTATTTGTCTATTTTTTGTTGTTGTTGATGCAAGATAGACTCGTATTGTTTGATTCAATCTCCATAATCGATCACTAGCAAATTGACTTAGTGGACAATCTAAAAGAGATACTCGATCATTGCCATATTTCGAATCATACGTATATACAGGTGTCACTGATCCATCACTGAATATACACCATAGACTCTGTTGATTTGACGAGAGTGGATGAGATGAAATGTTTTTTGGTAAAACAGTTTTCATATCAGTTGGATAAACTGCGACGAAAGTTAAACTCACTCCATAGCGTATACGACTTGCAGCAACACTTAATACAAGTAAATGACCATCAGCTGATAAGCATGGCACTGTAGGTATATTGTCTTCAGAATTTTCAGACCATGCAGCAACAACAATAGACATATCATGAAGTAAATTTTGTTCATCAAGAGTATGTCCAATTGGTTTCCAACCATCTGCTAGATGAGAAATATCATTAGATAGATCAATATATGATGTACGTAAGGGATCACTATTTTGAGTAATCGTTATGGATATGTAGTCTGGATTCATGTAACGAGGTAACCACCAAATAAACAGAATTAAAATAAATAAAACAATTGATATGCAAATCTTGGATGATTTGAGCCCCATAGATACTCATAAAATCTAGAACTAAAACTTAAATGAAACGTGGAGTAAAATAGTTTACACTCAAAAAGTGTAGTAATTTATTATTTCTTTGTACACAGTTTGTTTATTCGCTAGTATCGATATGAGATGAATATGATACTCCTCCAGATTGAGCATATCGTATCATTAACGACTTCTGTTTACGATTACATTGTACGAAGAGATACGATGAGAAACAGATTCCATATACGGAGATCGTGAAACAACACGGAGTATTCTAAAGGGAAACCTCTTTACTTCGTATACAGACGTAAACGATCAAGGTTGCTAAACCTCCTGATTTTTAAACAATTCTCCTGAAATCAGGAACTGATTGTAAAGATTTTCTCCTAATTTTTAATTCTTCTCTTATTTAAGTTTTGACAACGTTTTATGTACAAAAAATGAGAAAAAAGAGAGTAGTCACAACTATACATACAACTGTGACAAATGGTTATTTTTCTATGAATTGAACTTTTTTAAAATAGATTTTTTTTGATTATGTAATACATTTATTTAAAGATGAACAGTTAAAGAAAAGAAATACTACGTACATCTTTATCATTTATAAACTAAATTGATAAAATTCTTTAATCAGACACAACAGGCGGAATGGGACGCTGAGAAGTTTATTGCGCTGGAAGTAGGATGAGACAGAATGGTTCATTATTAACGCCGAACGGGACGAGACAGAAAAATCCTTGTCCCACCGATCTCTGATTCTAATCATTATTTATCTCTTTCATATTTTTTTTCAGCTTCCTCTGTTATTATTTCTATATTTAATAAAGAAAAATAAAGTATTTGATAAATGATACTATTTGTTATAAAGATGAACCGAAAAGAAAATAACGTTAATTTACTTTCGAAATTGAAATGATGATTAATCGATAATATTTCAAGTAATAAATGATACGACAAAACTTGAATAATTTTTGTTGAAGAAAGTTTTGTTAAATGAAACAAAATGCTTATCTTTTATTCTTATAATATGTAAAAGATAATTTTTTCTTTTTTTTTGTTCGTTCTTATTAATAGATAAACACATTTTACCAAGAGCAAATAAAATATTTTACGTAATAAAATTACAAGTATCTTTTTTGATATAAAAGATTAAGATGAAAAAAAAATCTGAGAAATGTTACGAACAAACTTTGTCTCATTAACTTGTAATGACTTCTAAAATGGTTTAATTAAATATGGAATTTAATTGTGTATCGAATGTTTGTACATTCGAAGAGACTATCTATCAAAAAACTACAAATTTCGCTTAAAATACCAATTGAAGAACTCAATCACTACAATAGCTCTTGTTGATCTTCAACAGTAAATGTTCATCGATATTCTGACGTGAATCTTATCGTTATTAGTTTCAATACCTATTGTTTATTTGGTATCGAAAGAATATTTGTTTTAGAAACGAATAATATTTAGATAAATACTAATTTGAATTGAGCTGTTTGATTCAACATTAAATTAATTAATCTGAATAAATACGAAATGGGCACGTAAGTAGACTTCCATGAAAGAACAGTAACCACTAATCTCGACGGTAAAATGTTAGTGAAGCCATTTCAATCTCTAAATATCAATCCCATGTTAAAAAAATCTTACAAGAATCTGACAAAAAATCGTAGTTTCTGAAATTTTCTATCAAGTCATACCACGTTTTTCGTAAAATATCTTACGTGCATTGTATTTTCTGAGTAATAATTTTAAGTGAGATTTTGAAAAAATATTAATTTTGGTAGAATATTATGGCGGCATTGTACTGCATAAGAATCTTATAACAGTTCTTATAGTACGAATTAGTGCAAGAAATCAAGAACCATGAGTTTTTGTATGATCCTTGTCTGACTTCATTCGATCATATATGATCAGAGATACGATTCTTACAAGATCTTGCTATCAGATTGCTCGACCTAGGAAACCATGAATTTTTCATGTTTGAGAATATAAATCTTGAAAATAGATAAAGGCAGCAAATTCAGACGAAATAATCATCACCCACACCTCCATCTTGTCCTTACCTTCAAAATTAGAAGTTAATACCCACGCTCTAGCAAATCTGTAGATTAAATCAGTGATACACGAACGAAGAAACATTATTAAAACACTTGAATCAGAGGAAATCATCTGCGCAGTTCAATGTATAATCTTCGAACTGTTCGTTGTTATGCATAGTTAATGCATCGTATCTTTTATTTTATATAAAATAAATAATAGAACAATGATCGTAGTCTCTTCAAGAAACGAGTGTGTTGAAAAATCTCTATCAACTTGCGGAACAAATTAATGTGAAGGATGAGAGTAATGAGTAACCCATAACGAATGTCCGCTTTTTCAATCTCATATTTTAATCAATAAGTGGGTTGTCTTAAAAAAATATGGCATAAGATGTAACATCAAAAGCTTATTTTATTGTTGCACTTTTTATTTTCAAAATAACCAAACTCGATGCAACTGTTTTTTCGACACTGCAAACAATTCTTTTTTTAATTTAAAGATGTAGGTGTCCGTATGAGAACTACACTATCACACCTTCGAAGTTACAATATTATAATGTTCTAATTCAAATTATTTATATAAATTTTTATTAAAAAAACAAGCATCATATATATAGATAGATAATATTATCAGAGATTAAAATCCCTGTAGAAAAATAAATGCTTTATTAATAATAAAGTTTCTATTCAAGATAATTTAATATTACAATGTTATGTATATTTCGTTCGACTTTTCGAATTTTCCAATGTGTTGATGAATAGTTTTTCTCGTATATAGATAATGCTATTCGATAATATTTTATTGCATGATTTAATCGATCATTTGTAGAAAAGACATCGGCCAAAATTGCATAAGTATCACCTAACAATGAATTTTCCAAAGGATTTCTTTCAATTTGATTTTCAAGTGATTTATTCAAATAGATATATCCGTCATCATAATCATATTTTTCAAGATAGATATGTGCAATAATTAAGTATAAATCATTTGATGAGATATTTTCAAGTTCTTCATCAAGTAGTTTATGAAAGTAGATTAATGCATGATCTCTTTGATGATTTTCAAAGGTAGTATTTCTAATGCGTTTGTATGTATCCATTAATAATTTTTTTACTGATGGTTGTTTATCAAATAATAGATTCAAATGATGTGATGTATTACCAAAATAGGTCGAAAAACATTTTTTTGAATAAATCTTTCCAATGATTCTATAAGCATCAATTATAGATGGATGTTCTATAGATTGATTTTGCTTTTGACAATGAATAAAACGATAGAGGAAAATTAATGCTTGTTGATAACTATGTTTTTCATAATAAATTCGTCCAATAATTCCATAAATATTAGCTAATGATGAATCTACTAATGTTTTTCTTTGTATTTCATTATTTAATAATTTATTAAAATATATTAATGCTTCATTAGAATCATTTTTTCTTAAATAAATATTTCCGATTACTTTATAGGTTTCACTTAATACACGATCTCCAAATGAATATTTTTCCAGTTGATGATTAAGTAATTGATGAAAATAATTTAATGCTTGATCCCAATGTCTTTGTTCAAAATGCATATTATCAATAATTTTGAAAGAAGCAGTTGATGATGAAATTTGTGATAATTTTCTCAAAGATGTACTATCAAGATAATTATTATTTGAATTCAATGAAATTTTATCAAAAAATTCATTTTTTAAGTAAATATTTTTAATTAACATATATGTTTTATCTATTGATTTTTCATCGATGAATTTAGCTTGTAATTGAGAATCTAATAATCGATTATAATATATCAATGCTTCAGAAAATTCATCTTTATCATAGTAAATATTTCCAATAATTTTATAGAGATCAACTAATGAAGGATCTTCTAATTGTTTGTCTTGTAATTCATTATCTAATAATTTATGTAGATAAGTAAGTGCTTGATCGAAATTTTGTTTTTCATAATGAATAATTCCAATAATTTTATAGATCTCAGTCAATGATGTATCATTTAATGATGTTATTTGTAATTCATTTTTAAGTAATTTATGAAAATAAATTAAAGTTTGATCAAAATTTTTTTGTTCCAAATAAATATTTCCGATTATTTTAAATGCATCACTTGATAATAAATTATCTAATGTATCACTGAGTAATTTTTTATAATGTTTTATAACTTGATTGAAATAACATTGTTCATTTTGATGATTTCCAGTGATTCCAATAATACGAAATGAATATGGTAATAATGTATTTGTTAATATTTTTATATGTGATTTATTATCATGATGAAGTAAGGTTTCATCAAAACGATGAACTTTTAAAAAAACATTTCCAATCATTGTATATGCTTCTGATAGGATTTTTTTTTCAATGGGTTTTATTTGTAATTGACAAGTAATAAGTCGATTAAAATAGATTATTGATTGGAGAAGATTATATTTTTTTAAATGAATATTACCAATAATTTTATATGTTTCAGCTAATGATGGATCTTTAGGTGATTTTCTTTTTAATTCATTAGCTAATAATTTATCAAAATATATTAATGCTTCATCAAAGTTTTCTTTTTGAAAATTAATATCTCCAATAACTTTATACGTATAAATTAACGATGGATCATCGGATGATTTTTCTTTCATTTCATTGTTCAATAATTTATAATAATAGATTAATGCTTGATCGAAATCATGTTTTTCTAAATAAATATTTCCAATAATTTTATAGAAATTACTTAGTTCCGAATCTCCTAAGGATAATTTGTCTTGTTGATTTTCAAGCGATTGTTTAAAATAACTTAATACTTGATCTAATTGTCGTTTTTCAAAATGTACATCATTAATCATTCTAAATGAACTAGGTATTATTGTATCAACTTTTTTTTGTTTTTCTGCTTGATTAATTAATAGTTTATCGAAATAGAGTAAACTTTTATCTGAATAATGATGTTTTAAATAAATGTTTCCAATGAGTGTATATGAATCTGCAACTGATTTTTCATCTATTGGTATTGTTCGTAATTGAGTATCAATTAATCGATTAAAATAGACTAATGCTTGTGAGAGATTTTTTTTCTTTAAATAAATTTCTCCAATTATTTTATAAGTATTAGCTAATGTAGGATCTTCAATTAATTTTTTTTGTAATTCATTATTTAATAATTTTTCAAAATATAATAAAGCTTGATCGAAATCTTCTTTATTTAAATATGTATTTGCAATAAGTCTATATGTTTCAGTTAGAATTGAACTTCCTGATGGTAATCGTTCAATTTGACTATTGAGTAATTTATGAAAATAAATTAATGCTTGATCAAAATTATTTTTTGCTAAATAAACATTACCAATAAGTAAATAGGTATCAGCTACTGCTGGATGTTTCCATGATAATGTTTTCAATTGATTTTCAAGTAGTAGATTATAATAATGTAATGCTTGATCAAAATCTTTTTTTTTCTTATAAAGATTACCGTAATGTTTAAAAGTTTCTGCAAAATCAGGATGATTATCTGGTAATGAATTTGATTGTAATATAAATGCTTTTTTAATACAATCAAACGCTTTTTCATCTTCACCAAAATCTGAAAACATCGATGCCATAGCAGTATAAGTATAACTAAGATCAGGATGATCGAAATTCAATGCTTGTTGTTGATTTCTTATAGCTTTATCGAACATATCCAATGCTTTCTGATATTCTTTTAATGCTCCATAAATTTTTCCAAGTTCAAGAAATGTACTTGCAATAAGTAACGGTTTTGTATTGAATTGTTTTTCAAGACATTTATATTGATATTCTAATGCAATTTGATAATTACCCATTTGATAATGTAATTTTGCTAAACCCGAATATGTTACGGATTGATTATTATTTACTAGTTTTAATGCTTGTTCATAAGATTTAAATGAAAGTGAATAATTTTCTTGATGAGAAGAAATTAATCCTAAATCATTATAACATTGAGAATGAAGAGGATGATCTTTTGCTTTTGGATTATTTAAAAAATAATTTAATGCTAAATTAAGATTTTTAATTGCTTCATCATATTCACCTCGTTTATCATTTGTTTTAGCAAGTCCATGATAACAACAAGCTTTATCAAATTCATCAGTTATTAATTCATCATTTAATAATACTTCATAATGTGCTGCAGCTTCATCAAATTTTTGCATTTGAACTAAATATTCACCGAGACATACTAACATATCTTTTCCTTGCAATTCATTTTCCATTGTATCTTGAAATTGTGTTATATCACTATCTCTATTTCCACATAATGTTAATTGGATTCGCCATAATTTCAATTGTTTATCTTCCCAAATATCATCAATACGAAAAATACAACCAAACATAAATAAAACTTCTTCTTCAGCTGCAAATGCACTTAAATGTTGAATACCTGCGAAAGGTCGATTATATTCTTCTAAATTCAAAGTTATTTCTAATAAAACGGTTGTTAATGTATCACATGGTGGTGGTTTACTAGTAGCAAAATCAACGGCTTTTTGTCTATTTGTACTTGTTGATAGAAATGAACTTGTTGAAAGTAATTGACCTTTAGCATGTTTTATTCGATTTACTTCATCTTTATTAATAAGTTGTCCACGATAAACTTGTAATATTGGTGATTGATTTGTAATACAAAATATTAATTGTTCTTCTGATAATTGATTATTTATATCACGAAGAAATTGAGTAAATACAATTAAATCACCGATATTTTGAGTTCGCAATGATTTATTAAGTAAACGATAAATACATGTTTCACGTGTATACCAATAGATCGCTTTTTTTGCTGTATAATTATTATCAAATTCCATTAAATCCCGTTGATCAGTTTCGTCGTCCGTATGAAAATAATCATAAAGTTTGATTTTTTCGGATGACTTCTTAAATCCTTCTGCAAGTAAACGTTTAAGAATAACTTGATATAATAAAAATTCTCCATTTAATGTATTGTGTTGACTGTGCATATCTTTTAAATTGAAGACATGACTAGCCATTGAATCTAAATGTCCAGAACTTTTATGTATAGATCTTCGAGCTGCCATTATTGATTGCCTATATAAATAGAAATGTTTAAAGCAAAATTATTCACAATAAAATCTTCATTTTAAAGATTATCGAATTCTTAATGTCTATTGTTAGTTGTAGTGCGTGATATTCTTTAAGTAACTATGTCACGACTATATGGATAGAAAATTCAAAACTCTAGATTATGATCAATAAAAATATCGAATTTTGCTTCTCAAGGATGAAATCGAAATATTGTCCAAGATCACAATGAAATAACAACGCAGGATGGTAAGTCTTTACTATGTATAAGAATCATGTAATGATATTTATTGTATTTTTTTTCTCTATATCATATATTATAAATAAGAGGACTCTAGAATACATTTCTAATGTATTCTTATAGATGTTTTGTAACGTAAATTTCAGAATACATTGTAGTAGATCATGAAGGTGTTGCTAAAGTATTTGAGATGGTGTGTTAGATACGATTCTACTTTCAATACTATTTTATAATTTATACAAATAATTTCATAAGAAACTCTTTCAAATATCCAACAAGTTTATAAAATTATTCTAGTCTAGAACAAAACTGCATGATATCTTTATTGATAATTTATCATGTAAATATTTTATATAACAAATTGAAGCATATTAACGTTTTTACTAACCTTGGGTGTCGATCAAAAGTGTACAAAAGAAACAAATGTATATATTCACTTGTCACTGTATTTATTTCTATACTTAATATATATTCGTTTCAAGGACGTATTTATTATTTTATTTTTCGTTTGTTTTCATTCATTTATTATTAGATATGAAAGTGTCCTTCATACACTATGTCGTAGTTTATTATATAATTTTTAAAATATGCGCAGTTTAAATGAAACTAGGTTTACAAATATTTTCTAATTAATTGTGAATCTTGTTTGAACTATTTCGTAATAAATCTTAAAAATATTTTTTTTTACTTATTTTTAGTACAAATAATCCAAAGATTTTGTAGAACAGAAAAACGATCTTAATGTTACGTGCTGCGTATTAAATTTTATTATTATTATTATCTTATATCTTGATAAAAATGTATTTTTTGCATTACTTAATATAGTTCAATTGAATTTTAACCATTTATTTGAATTCAAATTAGAAAAATAGTCTAAGTAATATCATCCAATACTCAATTATATTTAGTCGTATTTTATATAACATTTTTACAAATTATCATATTTCGTGTCTTCGATACTAAATAAGTTACTTCTTTTTTCATAGTCAAATGTTGACTATAATTTGTGTTTTTAATTCATTTCTATAAATATAAATCTTTTAACAGAATATCAATAGGCAATATGAACAGGTTGAATGATATTTGCCACATCATATCTCACATTCTGAACAATAAAAGACAATGTTTTATTTCTGGCAATTTTTTTTTTGTTCAAAAAGTCTTGAGGGTGACCTAATGATTCCGTATTCGATAGATGTAAAAGAAAAGAATTGAGGACATGTTTTGCAATTTTATTATATAAAAATAAAACAAAACGATTTGTTAGTGTTTAATCTAAAATCTAATTAAAAGTGAATTAATCTATTTGGTTCAAGTAAATGTTTTCCAGATTAAATCTGTTATGGTAGAGAATGAGTTTATTTTTTCTGTAAAATATTATATACATTTGTTTATAATAAATAACTGAACATTTTGAGTCATGAATTTATATTTGCAATGAGAATTATTTTTCGATTATATTAAACGGTTTCATATTAATATCAGGCATAGATTGTGTTGTTTGAGAATCATCACAACCAGTAGATGTTAACTGTACTGAACAACATGCAGATGCATTGTCCCAAGCTTTATTCCAACGTTCGATGTCTATTTTATGTTCGATATTTGTAATGAATTCCTTCCAGCTAGACATATTAATCTATAAAAAAAAGTGAAAGAGTTTTGATGAGTCCGAATGCCTTCAACGGCATTCATCAAAAAGATTACATGTTATTGTGAAGTATACTACCGGATTTATATGTGAACAAAAAAAAGCTTGGAATTTTCCAAATAGAGTACCTGAAATGAGTCATTCTTTTTTTTTCATTCTGTACAAAGAATGTCCTTTAGAAAAAGAAAAAGAGAGGTGATGAAATTTTTAATTCTATTACAGTGTTCTCTTTCACTGATGCACATTATTTCTTACTATTATAAACATCCTTTATAGTGTATGTAATAAACTGAATTTTTTTTCAGATTTTATCTTGTTTTCTGAATAAATATTTCAAGTATTTATAAAAATTTTGTTCATTCGTTGTACTGCAGATAAATAAGAATCAAATTATAACTTTCAGAAAATATTGTAGCAAAAAGCTGAACAAATAGATCACTTGTATATCAAATTTAACAATATAAATAAAACATATTGAACTCATAGTTAAACATTTCAGCGAATTCTATATCTCTTATCGAAAGACATTTCGGCGACAAAGCGTTTTGTCGACGAAAGATATTTACTTTATTCTTTCTTTTCTATTGCTATTATGAGATATTTCGGCAGTCCTTGAGAGTATTGGTCTGGGTATGAGATGATAACAACACTCACACCCTGAAGTCATGCCTGCATTGATTAAATAGCAATTCATAGAAGTGGATATTCGCATGTGTATTTGTTACGCTTGAAGGATCTGCACATGTAACTTTTATTCTCTTTTTATATACTGAAAATATTAAAAAAATGAACATTGCATATGAGACGAACGAAAATAAAATGGGTAGCTAGTAGCTCTCACTTCTTTATCAGTTGTGCATGTTTCTTTAACATAGATACAATGGTTAATATGTATTTATTCTTTTATTTTATACATTAAATCAGATGATCTAATGTTACTTAAATTTACAAATGAAAAAAAGTTTTTCATCTTGAGGGTGGGTGTGATCAAAAAGAGACATCTAGATTGATACCTTTAATACATGACAAGTTATATGTACAATATTGAAGTGATGAATTTGTGGAGACATCTTTAACCTTCTCAATCTAAATATTAATTCAGTATGTGAGCTAAAAGGATTTGCACTAACCTCATCGAAAAGTAAAAATTATAATACTTTTATTTTAGTTATATTAGCTTCATTATACTTTAGCATATAGCTAATTGGCAAATTATTGATTACACGAAAAAGTGAGCGATGATTTTGACTTTATATTATGAATGTATTGCATCACCTTTAAGGGTGTTATTTTATCTTTACTTTATAAATAAAGATACATTTTTTCATGCAATAAGTACATATGCAAATAACCTGTATAATAATAGAATACGTTTATTAATGCTCTTTCCTATCATCATCATCAATTCCATATGCCATATCATGAAAAAAAGGATCACACTATACGAGAAATTATATTTCATATTATAGTTAACTATATAATATCATAATTTTTTGTAAGCTAATCTAAAAAAATAAAAAAAAACTCGATTTGATAAAAAAGAAGTCTTTATTTTTTCTTTTATCTTTGTTTTCGAAGATGAAGAAAAGTTTCATATTTATTTTTATAAAGATAAAGATTTTTGTTACTTTTTCCTTTATTATAAAGTAAAATAAAGATAAAGTAACGCCCCTAGTCACTTTACAATATTGAAATTTCCATTGATTCATATTTATTGTCACTACAATCTGAAGATTGTAAGATAAGATTTGAGTCATGTTGCTTTTCGATCCTATATAATAGAAGGATTCTTCGTTCTTCTTACATTGTGTTTTGAATCAAAAATGACTCTAATATCAAATATAAAACAAGAAAAGACTGTTAATTATGGTAGTCTTCAACATTCGATGCAAGTGGAAAAATCACGGGATCGACGTACAATGAAATGTCTGGTTGCTTTGCAAATTTGTGCTGCAGTTGTAACGATGTTGTTAATTTCAACATTCTATCTAACTATGTATCCAAGTAACAAAGGAAAAAAACATACACCTTCTACCAACCCTATTCAAAAGGATAATACTGTAACCCTCTATGCGATACATCCAACACGTCACTCATTGTGCTTTCGTGATGGACAAAACGGTGGGATAATTATCAATTGGGCCGTTTACAACAGATGTAATGATCTTGATTTCAACAGTTATTATACTGGTTATTTTACTGTTGGTGTAGGAGGTGGACGAGCTGGTACAATCATCGATCTAGGTTCTCGTGATGATCTTCAGAAAAAATATCAATATCAAGAAACAGTTGGACATGGTCAAGGTTATGCATCGATCCATCGAACGAACAAAACATTACTTATTCTTAAGGATAGTTATCAAAACCATACTTTTCAAGCGATGGACGAATCAGCTGCATTATTTCGAGACACAAGCTCATCATTTAGTGTTCGTGTTATACTTGGCCATGTGTATGCGCTTCGAATTATTGATACATATAAGCATAAATCTGAGCGTGTCGTTAAAATGCTGGTGCTTGCCTATCAACCAAATGAATCAGTTACTATTCAATGGGAAATCCTAAAATAATTACAGAAATATGAATACTTTTCATCATTATAACATAAATTTTTTTGTATCTTTGATGTGTATACAGTGTGAACTTCAGATAATTGATTACCAATAATTCTTCATTTGAATAAATAAATATATATATTGTACACTGAAGATATTTTTGTTTGTACCTCGTTGAAAGTGATTGATTAGAATGATTCACAGACGTTTCAAGTATATAGAAGAGTAATAGTTTTCAATGTTTGACTCGAATCACATAAGTATTCATCCACTTAATCGGTATCTAACGTCGAAGGTGTGGTTTTGAGTGCGAGTGTGGGTATTGAAAATGAATGAAATGAATTCCCACATATATGTGGCAGTCGGTTAGGAAATTCAATTGCGTCTGGAATGCTATAAATAAACAAATTATTTCTATATTTTGGATTTAAAGAAAAAGCGAATTCAGAATAGTTTATGGTTGTAGATTAAATTTGATATATGAAAAATATTTCATTCTAGTAATAACAAAGTAAAATGTTGCTTATTTAAATAAATTTAGTCAATTCAAGATAAAATTGATGAAAAATATTAATTTTTTGATTATTTAGGTTTTTCATTTATTATAAACATTGTTTTATAAGCGGGGCATACGGAACATTCAGCGATTGATTTTTTTTCTCTTAGAAAGTACAGAATTGTTTACATTAAATTATTTTATAACCCATGGTGTAATAGATAGAGATTTTGTTCTTCTATTTCATTTACATCGAATAGGGGATCGGTGGTGTAGGTTGCTTATTCATTTATTTTTTGTTTAATAAATATTAAAGATTTCAGAAACTCTGATGACTTCAATGAGAATTATTCGTACTACTATGAGTCATAAAATGATCAAAACAAATTCAATTCTAATTAAATCGATAGATTTAATTCAAAGTATTTTTTCATCTGATAAATTTGGCGAAAATATCTGTGTTTTCTTTACAGAACTGCGTGTTATCACGTTGACCATAGAGCTGCTTTTACGCGCTAAGATTTTCTCATTTAGAAAAAAAATTTTCATTTTTATTTTTTATTCGCGCATTTTTATTTCAACTAAATTCTCATGTCAACTGTGACATACAGTAGTTTGTAAAAACACCTGGAACAAACTCACAACATAAACACTTAATGTTTTGCGATTATTATAGATTTATGTTAAGCAGATTATCTACTAAAAATATTCATATATTTGATTAATTGCTATTTTATCATTGCGTAATAATAGCTTGACATAGTAAAGATAAATAGTGGAAAATCACATCAAAATTCGTTCTGTCAAGAAAATCTACCGATATACAAAGATAACATTGTCTACAATTAGTTACTAATTTTAAAAGCTCAGAACTTAAGATTTTCTAAAGTATGGAGCAGTCAATAATCGAAAATGTATAATTGAAGCCAAATGCATTCGAATATTAGATCAATTTGTTAGACGAAATAATGAAGTGATATTGAAAGAATTGATTGAAAAATGACGTAAACAGTCTGAATTAACAATTTCCATCAGTACAATCTGACGCCATTTCAATCGTTTTAAAAATGAATATAGAAAAAAATTATAATCAATTTCACTAGCAGCATAAAAGACGGATCTCTTTTAATTATTGGATTAAACATTGTGAGACTGTAAACTAATACGTATTAAATTTACAAATATTTTTTTGAATGCAGTTCCACTAGTCTTTAACACAGATTAAAGATTTATTCCAAGTCTTTTTGCAAGCCTGTTAACACAAATTAACAACTAATAAAAAAATCTGATGTTATCTTTCGCCACTTTATGATTGAGAATCATTTTTTAGATATCTTGAAGTTACAAATTAAACACTACCAATTTTATTTTAGTTAAAGTCAGTAAATATGCGACATGCAAAGATTAATTCACAAATAGCAAAACAGGATTAAGTAAAAATAGTTTAAAAAATTTCAATAAATGAAGAAGATTGATGACAAGATCACTTCTACTTAGACATAAAGTCGTTAAAAAAATTTCACACTTAAATATATAGAGGAGTATGAATGTAACCTTACACTTATACTTATATTCACCCTCAAGTACTAGAAAATGTGAGGCAGTCTTATTGATTTCAGAAGAATATTGGACAATTCTAAAGAATCATACAGAATTTATGAGAATCCAGTATTCCAAGAGTTCGCTCTTTTCCCCTTGACTAATTAGCAAAGTATCGATTACATGAAAAAGTGAAAAATGTTGAGCTTATATTATGCATGTTTTGTATTATTATACAATGTTGCAATTCTTACTGACTCATATTTATTATCACTACAATCTGAAGAGTGTTGTTTTATAATAAAACTCAGTTGTTTGTTGTCATCGCTTCTGCGATGCAATGTTTTAACATACATTGACGCACGTTAAGATAAGACCTGAGTCATGTTGATTCTTTACCTTATATAATAGAAAGATTCTTCGTTCTTCTTACAGTGTGTTTTGAATCAAAAATGTCTCTAATAACAAATACAAAACAAGAAAAGATTGTTAACTATGGCAGTCTTCAACATTCGATGCAAGTGGAAAAATCACGGGATCGACGTACAATGAAATGCTTGGTGGTTCTGCAAATTTGTGCTGCAGTTGTGACGATGTTGTTAATTTCAACATTCTATCTAACTATGTATCCAAGTAACAAAGGAAAAAAACATACACCTTCTACCAACATTGTGCCAAGCAATCCTATTCAAAAGGATAATATTGCAATCCTCTATGCAATAGATCCAATCGGTCACTCATTCTGTTTTCGTGATGGACAATATGGTGAAGAAATTACCGACTGGACTGTTTTCAATAGATGTAGTGATCTTGATTTCAATAGTTATTATGCCGGTAATTTTACTGTTGGTATAGAAGGTGGTCGCGTTGGTACAATCATCGATCTAGGCTCTCGTGGTGATCTTGAGAAAAAATATAAATATCAAGAAACAGTTGGACATGGTCAAGGTTATGCATCGATTCATCGAACGAACAAAACATTACTTATTCTTGATAATTATCAGAGCCATACTTTTCAAGCAATGGATGAATCAGCTGCATTATTTCAAGATGCAAGTTCATCAACAACTGTTGCTGCTAAACTTGATCATGTATACGCTCTTCGAATTACTGATAGATATGACGGTAAATTCGAACGCATCGTTAAAATGTTAGTGATTGCTTATCATCCAAATGAATCAGTTACTATTCGATGGGAAGTGTTGCCATAATTATAGAGATATGAACACTTTTAATCAGCATAACATAATAATTAAAGTGTGTACTTCAAACATTTGATTACCAGTACTTCTTGATTTGAATGAATAAATATATTATGCATTGAAGATATTCGTGTTTATATATCATTGAGGGTGTGGTTAGATGAAGGTGGATGTGAGCGTTGTCAGAGTAACCATTATTGCCTGCTCATCCACACTTACCCTAAACCTAAACACACCCCATTTTCAAAGTAGAATAGTAGGGATCTATGGTTGTGTTTATTTTTTTTAGTTTTGTTTTGTCTAAAATAAGGAATAACCTCGTCAGAGGCGTTTTATAATTACTGCATAAGATTCGCGACGTTTATGGAAAATCAAATACTGGTGGTTTAATTTATTTCTGATGTTCTTTCAAGCTAGAATTTTTCAAAGATTAATAATGAATGATATAATTCAGTATTTAATAGCAGTATTAATCTACGTATTATAATTATAAGTTATTGTTACTGCATTTATCCAGAGAGTTCTACTCGCCAGAAATCATCTTCAATAGTATTATAAACAACTTATTTAAGATATGTATAGATCAATGTTCCTACTTGTATTCAAATAAATAATTATTTAACTACTTCAGATGTCCTCATGAAGTATAGTATATTCTTGCTTATAGAAATATTCTATGCATCATGCCGATTTTTTGAAAATCATTAACTATAAGAATGGCACGAGACGATATATTGAAATAATACATCCGATAAGTGTAGATTGGAAAGAACACATTTCAGTTGAAATAGGAGACTCTGTACTCCTTCAACTTCAAAAGTGTAATTGAGCACACAAATTAATTCCATACTTATTTTGACAGTCTCACATAAACCGACACAAACGAAAATAAGATTCAATCGTTTCAAATTTTTAACTAATTTTTATTCCCTTATTTTCATGATAATACTTTAACAATTTGATTGCCAGTCACAAATCGAAGAATACTATGAATTTTATCTATCACTTTTACTTAGATAAGGAGTGTGTAGTATTTTTAATTTTCATTTATATTCAAAGTCGAATTAATCAATTACTCGTAGTTATAATGAAAGTCCTATTTCATATATAAAATTGATAGTTTACAAATTTTTGTTGTACTTTTCCGTCGAAGAGATCGGAAAGTTCCATCTAATTTATAATTTATAATTAATTTTGACGGGTTTTGTGTTGCATGTATACATAACTCGTGTCTTGACTGTAATTCACAGTGAAAAACTTTTTTTTTTTATTTTGTGCCGTAATTGAATATGATATGTTTTTGAAATTTTTATTTATATTATAACTCGAACTAGTCAGTTACTCAAGAATTTAAAAAAAAATAAGAAGAAGAAAAACAATAAAGAAAATAGCCTCTGAATATGAATGGAATCTATTGAAAGATTGAATAAATTAAAACATCAATTTTATATTTAGAAATCTTTTTATATAACAAAGTTCTCAGGTAATTGCTTCGTTATTTATCCGAACATAATTAAGTATTTTCAACAATATGGATTTAATATATGCATTAAAAAAATTCTAAAGCTTTTCTATGACAATTGAGAAACTAATTTAATACTCTCATATAAATGATAACATTATATAAAACACTTATCGTAACAATTAATAAGATAATGTTGTTCTATATTAGAAATTAAAAATATTTCCATGATACTATAATCCTAATATCAAACTATTAATACTTTTTTTAATTATTGTTGTTAAGTGAACATCTGTGACAATCTTTCTTTCTAAATTCTCAAGTTTTCATGGATGTTTTTGTATGCTCTTCGGTCTATGTAAATATAATTCCACAGGAATTTAATTATATGATATATATAGATATAAATTTTTATATTAACTTAGAGTTTGTAAATTGTAGACTCTTCATCAGGCACCGGAATCTAATATTTATTATAGTTTAATACTCTCGGAATGTATAAGGTTCTTGAATTCAATATAATTTATAGAAAAAAGAATGTTGGTCAATTTCTTCGATGTATCTCAAAATTTATTCTTCCGAACTATCAGATTTAGTTAGAAGATGGGAAAAGATTATACGATATTTAACCTCTCGGAAGCGCCTTGAAACATTATAAGAGAATATTGTCAAACAATGTGCTTCCGTAAAATAATAATTAACTGTAAATATTGAATCTGTACTCTCATTTATTCTATACTAGCATATTTCTGGTAGTAATCCGTTATCTATCATCAAAAGAAATGACCTGGATATCCTTTTTCCGTATTTTTTACTTCTTTTCTTTTAGGTACTTTTCTTCTTATCTTGGACTTACAAATCGCGTCATTACTTTGTTCTTACATCATGCATGTATCTTATCCTAATGGCACGATTAAGTCTGTATTCTCTCTTGCACTTGCTATTTTCTGCTAGCGTTCAAACTCTCACTTTTCACAGTATATAAAGAACGAGTAAATATAATGTAGATGCGATTTTTGTATTGGAAAGAAATATAAACATAAACGAGTTCTCTAGTGGTGCCATTAAGGGTGACACTTCATCTGTATTTTGCTTTGAAAAGTAAAGATAAAGTACTGCCCCTGATAGTGTCTATTATATGAAAAATTGTTACAATTTTATATTAATACTTCATCTTATTAAGCGTGCTGTTGTGTTATACGAGTTGGATTTTTCTTTTTCTTCGATTTGGTATTATGTCTTAGTCACATCACATATATATATTTATATGCTCTTTCTTTTTATGTGCCACCTGCTTCCACCTATTTTTTCTTTTCCATTCTATGGTGTTTTTTGTGTTGATTCTTTTTCTTTCTACTCTATATAAAAACATTCAACGGAAACGTATTTTCGGTCCTTTTCTTGACACAACAAGACATGTCATTAAGTGAAGACGCACAGAAAAACTAGGAAGTTATTATCATTTTCTCTAAGATTAGTTTCATAGAGTATACATTATTACAACGTATGTAAATAACAGAAGAGAACTATTCACTTTTATTTCTAGAATGAGTGCCATTAGTATTCTAATGAATTGTTGTACAACTCTAATTCATATATTTTCTATGGTCATTTCATTGATTGTTCTTATCGTTATTATTTATCGTCTGTATCATAATAAATTATATCGACGTCACATTGATGTGCGATTGCCATCATCAGCTTTCGATGATCAAATTTCATTAATACTTCTTGGTAACACCTATCTAGTTTTTTTTATCTATCATATAGCATGGATTTCGATAACTATGCGTACATTTCTTGGAGATTTTTCTCTTTTGAAAGATATCATATATCTTGGTGATTCACCATTTTGCCGAATACAAGTTGGTATTATATTTTTCTTAACAAGTCAAATGTATCATAGTTTTTTATTACAAGCATTATATCGTTACTTTAAAATTATTTACAGTTCAAATCTAACTACAATAATCTTTTGTCAAATGTCATTAAATAATATTTCGATTTATATTTTAATGATTATTTTCAGTTGGTTAATATCATTTGTTGTTTTGATTCCAGCATATACAACATTCAATGTTTTTTCTTATTTTCCTGAACAATATCATTGCCTTATATCTTTTACAAATCTAAAAGGTTTTATTTATGCACTTCTTGTCTGTTATCTTATACCAGTATGTTTCATATTATATATTTATTGTCAACTTATTATCTATATTCATCGATTACCTAGGCATGGTATTTTATTGAGAACAACACGTGAAATAGCTGTTATAAAACGTATTTTGAAGATTTGTTTGGCAATGAGTGTTCTCGGTTCTCCCACACTTTTCTTTCTGTTTCATTTCATTATTACCGGTGACATACATCCACTTGCTGATCGAGTTCATGAACTAGGTGTATCAATAAGTGCAATAGGCTTTACTTTTGGTTTCGCAATTCTTAATTCATTTTCTCGACTTTTACCTCAACTACCAGCTGATGTGAACAGCAATATGATAAGCTTACAACGTGATAGACCAACAATATAACTATATGTTACCTTTTTTGCAAAGAGTTTAAATTCAATTTTTTCTTTGTATGAACTATTCAAATATATATTGTTGTGTCGATTAAAAATAAAAATGAATTTTAAAACTAAAGCACAATCAAGATGTTTACAGATGAAAATAAATATGTATGTGGCTAATCTATTACTCATTCTTTTACGTCATTCTCCACCGCTACACTGTCCAGCTTCATATATCCTTTCATTTCTTTATCTTCATTGTAAATGAAAATCATGTCTTGCTGCAGCACTATTTATTTTTTGTGACGCTATAAGAATTACATACTGATATGAGTCAAAGAAAAACAAAACTGATAACACTTCTTACAGTATAAAAGATTTTTGATACTTACGCCTCAAAAAGACAATAAATATGAAGTTGACTCTCTTCATTTTTGTACTTTTTACAATTGGACTTTCTCATGAACAACCTGAACAACGTTCCACGACACCAACTCTACAGGGAACAAGTACAATCCCAAAAGCACAAACATCTCTACGTGATACTTCAACAATATCATATTATCCAATGACATGCTACTGTGACTGCTGTGACGGTTTCGACTGCACGCCAGTTCGACAGGGTGTGATCTACTATCAAAGTCCTAAATATTGCACTTGGTTTGACTGTTCCCAAAAATGTAGTCATGTCTATCGAGAGTGCTATGGCAGCCGGGCTAAAAATAATGCTCGATGTAGTGATAGTAACAGAATACACATCGATATTAATTTAATTCTATTTTTATCACTGTTATTTCTAAACATATCGTTTTTTCAATAGTGTGCGTAATTTAAAGCTTTTTTCGATTGATTTGAACAAATAAGGATACAGTTATGCTGATAGTTTTCAATAATTCCGAGAGAAATCGCTCTCTTGAATACTATTTAGTCGATCTTGAGGTTGTGGGTGTGAGTGAATGGAAGAGGATTACAATATCTACATCCACAGCCACCGAACTGAAATATAGACTATGTAAAAAACTTGTCATTTGTTTTAAACATTCATTGTAGAAACTAACGTGTTAATTAATATGCACCTGTTTCGGATTAGTAATAAAGGAAGAAAATCATTGATAAGCGTCGATATAAAATTATCTTGATCGTAATTATTGAAAATTTGACATCATGTCATACTTTATTACACTATACTGATCTCAGCTGTCCATTAATTTCTGATCCGATATCGAATTCATATGAATAAAGCATCATAATCAAAGCTAATTCAGTACATAGACCATATTATATATCTATGAGGGTGCCATCTACTCTCACACATTCATTCACCACATCCACCCACACCTACACCCACCCCACACCCACCCTCAAGATGTTAATGATGATGAAAATGATTGGAATAGGTTGTTGTTCCACAATCCATATCTAAGTATAATTCTTTTAATTTAATTATCAATTTTATCTATTTGTTCACCTTCGTAATAAGGTGCATTTGATCGAAGATTTTAAATTAGGTGTATATTTCATAATAAAGAAAATATCTGAATAGTTCACTAAATTTAATGTTAATGAATCTAATAACAATGGATAATGAAATATTTCTAATGAATTTTCATTACAAAATACTTTTTTAATTATGTAATTGTTATCAATTTGATCGAGATATGTAGATTTATTAGAAAAAATTTGATCATATTTTAATTGAAATGAATATAAAGATTTGAATTGATAACTATGGAAAATAGATCTCATAAATTTATTTGATAAACTATTTGGTATAGAAGAAATAAGGATTGATTAAAGAAAAAGAATGTATATAAAATAAATTATTTCAGTTGGTAAACGATCAAACCATGTCGAATATTTTAGATTTTCTAAAGACATCAGAAACCATAGATGAAAATCGTTTCGTAAGTTATATTATTGCAGAAATTTTGAGATCTTTCGAAATTCTTTCTACATCAATGAACGCGAATATAAATTAATTGGATTATTTATTCCTAATTATAATTTCAGTAACATAAAAACATACTTTGACAAGAAAATCTTCTTTGAAATTTTCTCCAATATTTAATCAACAGTGATAATAGCAATTTTTTCTTACTTTGTTATATCTGAATCTTAATACGCATTTATTTTCCATTGACTTATACTCATGAATACCGTTCCTTATTAAAGCAGCATAATCAAGAATGACATGTTTTTCTTTAATTGAAAATTATAGATATGAGAAGAAAAAAGATTTTGAAGTCATTGTAATAAGCGATATTTAATCTTTATTCACTCCCATCTCTATACAATAAGAGTGGCATCATCGATCATCCTACAACAATAACACATGATGTCAAAAACTGTCACCGAAGTATGTTCGTTTTCTGTCTCATCATGTATTAGATGATTTTCACCACATGGATAGTTAATAAGAGATTTCCTTTTACGTCAAATTTAAAAAAATGTTCTGCCATATGTAAGCTATTATCTACTATAAATATCAACAAGTTCTTCGAAATAGAATGTGTAGACACAATCCTCTAATCAACATAAAAACATGACCTTTACAAAAAAAATCTATGTGAGCGATGACTATGTTATTAGTCATCAAATTATTGTTGAAGGATTACTGCAGTTACAGAACATGTTAATAATAGATTTAGATAATTAGAATATGTAAAATAGCAGATCGTACACGATTTATCGACTAGTGATCTTCAGAAAAAATGAAATACTTATTGAAACGAATATAATAAATCTCAGATTTCAAATCAAACTATTCAGCAGTAAGATCTTGCTCTCTGGCATATGCCTCATAATTATTTATTTCTCTAAATAAATTTTGCACAATGAAACACTTTATTCTAACAGGTTTTCTTTTAGAATACATTGTATTTCCTCTGAAAAGCGCTGATTTTGATATTTGATTAAGTAATCAACATCCAACTTAGAAATTTTTTTTATTCTTCGCCAATAACAACTCACATCTGACAGTATTTTTAACAAAAACAGTCTTGACTAAGGAAGCAAGTTAATCCTTTTTATTAATATATTTGCAAATATTTCACATTCTCAACGATAATAAATCTTGATAAAACACAAGTAATAAGACTATCAATCATTTTATTTTATTTAAAAACAATATCTGTGACGTTCCGTTAAAATAAAATGACTGATAGTCTTATTACTTGTGTTTTATCAAGATTTAAAGTTATACTATCAAATAATGATAATAAATCTAATTTTTTTAATGATCTTTTGTTTTAGTTGAGTAGATTCAACACCGAGAAAAGTAAGAAAATTGATATTAAACGAATATTCAAATAAGTAAGTTATCATTTTGCCAATTAGATTTTTGTTCAGTGCAAATTTTTAAATGATAAAATTATTTTTTGTAGATTTTAGTTAAATCAAAACTATGAATAGAAACAGAGTGGACGCTCACGATGTAATCTATTGAGATCACGTAAAATATCATACCATAACTTTTTTCTTTTCTTGGTTATTTCAGGATGTGCCTGCAGTTAATACTGATCTAGAAGAACCATCGACATTGTATGTATATGATCAATTACACTAGAAGATAAACAAAAGGCTCTTTTCTTCTAGACCCGAACATTTTCGTAGAAGAAAATTAATACGAATCGATGTTTCTATTCTTATTTTTCTTTTAATCATGACTGGTTTAATAATAATTGTTGTTAAGAAAAGAACAAGCGATAAAAATATATCAACAACAGAACAATCGATTATTCAAATAACAACTGAATCATCAAAGATAACTACCGAAGGATTTATAATAACAGCAACACCAACGACCGAACCATTCACAACCCAAAATAATAATTTCAGAGACGATCAAAACCACAAAAAAAGGTATATAAACTATTTCAAAATTGATATTCCATTGAGTCTTGAGGGTGTGGGTGTTGATGCAGTCTCTAACTAATATCCATACTCTCAAATAAAACAATTATTTTATTTAGCCCAGAAATAGAAAATATTTTATTTTTACAATTTTTATAGTTAACAATTGAACATTCTCATCATTTATCAACTTCTTCTACTCTATCTGCTTCTACATCATCAAATACAAATAGTTCATCTTCGTCAAACTCTTTATCAAATCCTAGTGAACGAATATGTTATTTGTTAAACCATGAAAAATATAAATACGATATTATTGATATAATCAATTTAAAAAATCAGAAATATCATCTGATCTGGATTGAAAGTACATATAACTATATAATCACTGTTTTTCAAATCATTGGTTTTTAGTCAACATTTTCTTGTTTTATTAAAAACGAATAAATCAATTAAGATAATTACAAAAAAAAATTATTTTAATAAAAAATTATGTTTACTGTTGAAAAAAAAAGTAATTTCTAGAAATATTATCTCATAAACACCAACACTCATATACCTCACTTCAGTTTTTTCAATTATAAACGCAGTGGATATGATTTGAGATATAAATATAATTAAAACTAATGGCGCAGTCTCATATTTCTTTTATACAGTTTATACTACAAGTGCTTTTTATAATTATTAATAAGGATTTAGTTTATTCAGTAAAAATACTGTAAGTAATTGATGGACGATGAAGAAAAATATGCAATGACGCACTAAAAGTATTATGCTAAATAGTCAATAATCTTTTTTTTATTAAATATTTATATTTATTCTGCTGCCTGATTTGTTTTCTATATAAATAACGTTTCATTCGGTTAGTAACAAAAAAAAAAAAATAAACGACGACGATTATATATTACAAACTTTACAAAAAATGTTTGTGACGTTTGCTTTGCCAAGCTTTTTCTTGCTGGGTCTACTTGTTATTTATCAAACAAATGGAAAAAATGTTACTTTTATTCCACAGTCAATTCGAATAACAGTCGCTGATCTACCACAACCATATGCTTCAGTATCAGCACAAAAATCAGCTCGAGTTGTCTCCATACCTTCAGATCCACTTCTCTATGTTGCTGAAGGATTTACAGTTAAGGTATATATGACTGGACTAACAGCACCACGTTATCTTATCTATACACCAACAGGCGATATTCTTGTTAGTGAACCATCTGCAAATCGAATCTCTTGCCTAGTTGATAATAATCATGATGGTTATCCTGATGAACGTTTAACATTTGCTGATGCATCAAATGGACTTAGTTCACCATTTGGTATGACTTTTATCAATGGATATTTCTATGTAGGAAATAAAGATGCTACTCGACGATATTTATGGACATCAGGAAGTCGAAATATAAAAGGAACAGGTGAAATTATTATGAGTTATCCACAAACTGGACATTCAACTCGAACTGTTGTTATGGAACCAAATGATAATCGATTATTGGTTAGTATTGGTTCAGAATCTAATGTTAATGTTGAACCATCACCTCGTGCATCTATTCAACAAATTAATCTTAATGGTAGTAATCAAACAACATTTGCATCTGGTCTTCGAAATCCAGTTGGTTTAGCATTTCATCCAATAACAAATGATTTATATGTTGCATGTCAAGAACGAGATGAACTTGGTGATGATTTAGTACCTGACTTCTTTACACGAGTTCAACAAAATGATTTCTATGGATGGCCATATGCTTATATGAGTTCAAATTTAACGGATCCACGACGACGTCTTAGTAATGGAACAAGTGAACGACCTGATTTAGTGTCGATTACAAAAACACCTGATGTTTTATTTCAAGCTCATTCAGCTGTTCTTGATATGCGTTTCTATACAGGTAATCAATTTCCTGATCGATATCGAAATGGTGCTTTTGCTGCATTACATGGTTCATGGAATCGAAATAATGGAACTGGATATAAAATAGTATTTATTCCATTTGATAAAAATACAAACCGACCAATAGGATCATATGAAGATTTTGTATATGGATTTTTAACAAATCCAACAGGACCAGATACATTTGGACGTCCAGTTGGAATACTTGTTTTAAAAGATGGAAGCTTATTATTTAGTGAAGATGGAAATGATCGTATTTACCAAGTACAATACAATAAGAATTCTACCACTATGAATAAAAAATAAAAACAGTAACGCTTATTTTTCGTTTTCTTAAAATGTGTGAAAGACGATAAGAAATACTCGTGTATTCAGTTTCACAATATAAATTAAATCTTGAGGGTGTGGGTGTGAATTTATGATAGACTCGCGCATTTATATTTTTAGTGAACTTTATTTGTTGTGAATGGAAATACTTTAAAAAAGAGCAGAAAATGATTATTAATCAAAAGTCATTTTATCGTCAAAAACTTGTTTCAATTAAGATCAATAATAAATTTTTGTATTCGATGATTTCCCGCATCGGCAACATAAAGATTTTCTTCATCATCAAACGATAAACCTGTAGGCCAATTCAATTGATTTGATTGAATTCCAGAACCATTTTCACCAACAACAATTTGACCTTCTTTATCTCCTTCACACCAACGCATTACTCGATGATTCGAAAAATCTGCCACATAAATTTGACCTAAACGATCAACAATCACTCCTTGAGGATTAGACAATTGTTTGAGACTATTTCCTTGACCATTTCCTCCAGCAACAATAATTCCTTCTTTTGCATCTTTTTTCCATTTCATTACACGATGATTCTCATTATCTGATATATAAAGAGAATAATCTTTATCAACAAAGATAAAAGTAGGATAATCGAGTTGATTAAAATGATTTCCTTTACCATTTCCGCCTGCAACCAATTCACCTTTTTTATCTCCTTGTTTCCATCGTCTTACTTCATTATTCTCCCAATCAGAAACATATAGAAATCCATCTTTATCGATTGTTAGACCCCAACAAATAATATTCGAAATAATAATTTGTTGATTTGTTTGATTTTGATTAGAATATCGAATTACTCGGTTGTTTCCCATATCAGAAATAATGAAAGAATTATTTTCTTTATCAAAAATTATATCTGTTGGAGAATTCAATTGATTATTTTCATTTTCACCTCCAATGATTTGACCAGTATTTGAATTCAATTCCCATTTAACAATACGATGATTCCACTGATCAGCAATATAAATTGATTTATCATTATCAATAAATATCCCTTGAGGGTTAGTGAGTTGATTTAAATCATCTCCTTTTCCATTTCCTCCAGCAACAGTAATTCCAAATTGTTCATATTTATTCTTTTTTGTTTGTATTTGTTCTAAAATAATGTATTTGGATTTGTTTTAATAAAATAAAATTTTATTTTTATTCTTTATTTCTTCAGATTTTTTCATACAGTTTTAATTTGGGAAAATCGTTTTTATTTCAATAATTTCAATAAATTAAATAATCCTTTTATTTGAAAATTCTAAACTAATAAGTTTAACTTAACTTAAATTTATTTAACAATATTCTCAATATATCAACTCGAAAAACGATGAAACTATTTTTTAGACAAAACTACTATTATTGTTATTTAATGAAACATACTTTGTTTTATTGGCGATTGAGGCTGAGTTAGCATTTTATACAATGGTGTTATTGGATTCCATGGTATAGTCGGTATACTAATTGGGAAATGACTTTTATATGATGTTGTTATTGGATTCTTTGAAGTAGTTGCTGTACTAACTGCAGGATGATTTGACGAATGAGAATCTTAATAAAAATAAAATACAATGTTTTTATTCGGCAATAATAAAAAATGAATTATTTATTTTAATTTAATTTATACAATATTTTTGTTTTGAAAAAATAAATGAATGATAATTATTTAGACTATTAGAACTATCTTGCGGATGTGGGTGTGAGTATGAGTGTTATATCCTTCATTCACTCACTCCTGTCATTTCAATTAAAATATCTTTATCTATATATGAAATAATAAAACGATATTCTGATGTTTGATACTGTCTACTACACTGATTGAATTTTTTCATAATTAATAATTTTGAAGAGTCGCTTTCATATTGGGATAGTTTGATAGATCTCAGTATATCCTCAAAATACAGACTCAACTCATTTAGATATGAGGTATTGTTAGACTTGTCTCAATCTTATATTTGTTCATTTTCAACATTTGAAACTATTCTCTGTAAATCTCGTTGATAGAATTAGTTTGTAATACGAAAAACTTGAAAAAAATACTTCATTTTCTCTTTTCTCGAAATGAAATAATTGAATAAACATACCGAATGATGAAATAACTGAAATTTTGTTGATATATTCTTGTGCATCATGACGAATAGAAATATTTGACGATCGAAGAAATTCTTCTGTAATTTGTGTTAATTTTACTTGAAAATTACTTAAATCAGTTTCATTAAATTCATTTTCTTCACGAATTTCTTTTAATTTCTGAGATAATTTAATAAACTTTTCTTCCATATCATTGATCAACGCTTGTGTCAATTTTATCAAAGTTTCTCGGCATTCTTCTGCTGTTTGTTGAATTTTATTAATTGAATTTGTTTCCCATTCATCAATTTGTCGAAATAAAGAAGAATTGTGTGAATTTTGTTTTTGTTGAATAATTGCTTGTTGAAACTGACCATGATCATTAATAATTACCTCTAACTGTGTATCAATTTTTTGTCGATGTTCTGTTAAATGAGGAAAACAGAATTCATTTGAACATCCTTTACAACTGTATGTATTTTTTTCCTTGTTACACACAAAACATTGTGTTTTCTTATATACTGTTGCCATTTGTTGAAGAATTTGAAAAAGAAATGAATATTTATTCTCATTTTATCTATGTCTTTATTTATACAAAACAAAATGAGTCAATATAGATAAATATCAGTAGGTAGTAAAAGAATGAAGAAAATCTTTTTTCGATAGATAAGAGATCTTCATCATGACAATAATTTAATATTCATTAACATTGTATAAAAACTAAGACTCTTTGAACAAGATGAATTATCAGAATTTTATTGATCTTTCATCTTTTATATGAGTAAGAAATACAAATAACAGATAGTTATGTTGTTGGTCGAAAGCCCTTTTGTCGACACATACTTGGTCGACAAATTATCGTCGACACGCACTTCGTCGACACAGTGTACAAGAAAAGTAATCATAATGTAATATTTCTTGTTTTTAAG